AAATTAGTTGACACCATAACTCTTCCAGAAGAGAATGCAAAGAGTAAGGATATAGGAAATTTGGGGGTTCTGCTCTTTTTAAAACATCATATTTCACATTTGGCAATCTTGGAGATGGCTTGTTTTCTCTTGGGTTTGAGATTCCTTCTTCATAAAACAAAGTTTAAAGAATGTTTTTGGGTATTTTTCAATGCCAACGTTTTATTTCTATATGATTTTCACTCATAAATTGCTGCTTTATGTCAAGAAATGTTACTTTTATGAACCATTAAAGAATTCTTTTCTTGGGAAAAAGATCATTTTGCCATTTGGCTTTATTATTAAATGATCATAACATTCTTCATTCTGGCTGATTTTTTCCCCCTCCTGTTTCCTTTAATCCATCAGAAATGGAGATAGGGCCAAATGAACTCACTGGAAACAGTGGTATTGTTTCTGTACTGTGCACTGAAAAGTGTTAAAGGGTGGGTAATATAAGAATGATATTGGCCAGTGAGGTTGTAGATACTAAATTTGACTTTTGGACTTAATAAGTTATTTTATGGGCAATTAATTGTCCTCAGAAATACATTAAACAGATCACATTTTAGAAAGTTTTCTGTTAAAATGTATAGACATAGTAGAAACACTCATGGTTTTGTCTATATCAGAGTTTTTCTTTCACTAGCTCACTAGTGATAGGAAATTCTATTTTAGTGAATTAATGCTGAGTGACAAGTCTTTGGTTGCTCCAGACAATCTATTATTTCCAAGATGTTGCGATTTTCATCATGTTTCTTTGCCTAAACTGAAACACCTGACCCCTGTTACTAGCTTATTTAGATCATCTCTGGATTTTACAGTCATTATTGACCTTAGCAAAAGAAATTCTGAGCAAATGGTTAAGGATAAAGATAACTGAGAGGGTAGAGAAATAGCTGAAGGAATGCTAATGTAAACGAAGGACATAATTGGAAGGGGTAGGTTTTGCTTTAAGATGAAAGGTGCTACTGAAAATTTACAAAGGAGACTGCTTCAGCAGCTAGGAGGAATGTACGCTGGAGAGGATGTGGAGCACAAGCCGAGGGCTTGACTGAGTAGGAATGCAGACATCTTGTTCGTATAGCCACAGGAGATGTGAATGAGGACAGCAAGATGCTGAGTAGCTCTTCTGATGATTCTCTTTTCTCAAAGAAATAATAATAAGAAAATAGTCTTAGGGAGAGAGACAAAAGAAGAGATGACGGTGTCTAAATAAGGAGAATCCATCATTGAAGAACTAATTGAGGAATAGAGGCGTGCTGGGCAGCACCGGCACTCATTGGAGGGGGGAGACAGTGGAAGTAGGGTCATGAATTTCAAGCGCAACACACAGCATGGCTGTGATTGTGCTGTTTCCTAGCTTATTGAGTGGCTTGGGTTTGTCACAGATTGAGAGTTAACTAAGGTTAGAAAGTCTTACTTGTTCAGCAAGCTCCAAGTTGAAGAGGACAGAGGAGTTAAAGGCAATATAAGCAGAAGCTCCTCTAGCAAGGAGGGAAGTAAGACTTGAAAGTTTGAGTACCAGAAGAAAATGCTCAAAAGCTGCCATTGGAGAGAGTGCCAGAGTGAATGTTATATTTAGGTGGAGAGTAAGAATCTACAGGGAGACATGTAATGAGACCTTCGTATCTCCAAATCTAAGTCAGGCATGGTCAAGCTAGAAAAAACATGTATCATTCCAACTCCAATTTAAAGCAAAGAAATCAAATTTTAGTATTTACTTCCTTTGTTCTGACTATCGAATTCCTATTGTCCTTGAGCAGTCAACGTAAGGCGTATTTGTTTTATGCTTCAATTGTCTTTAAGTACATTTTAGAAAAGTATTTCCTTCTCTCTTGTACCACATCTGCACAATTCTTGTCTTAAATGCATAGTTGTTTGTATACTACTGTGAAGCTAAAGGAAAGATGGAATGTAGTAGTCCTGGATTTGCACGACACAATTATGGGATCCCAAGAAATTGACTTTAAGAGGAAAAAAAATATGCATAGCTGAGTAAAAATGCAAACATTTAAAAGACAAGCCCTAGTTTTGGCAGAGAAGGATAAGAAGACATTCAGTGAGTAACACCCTCTGGTTCTTTAGGAAGAGCAAGGCTACCAGTGGTGAGATCCTAACTGACCTCACTCACCTCAAACCATATGGAAAAATATCTAGATTTGCAAGGGTTTGAGAAAAGGTGAAAAAAACCGCATAGCCTCTCAGAGCAGTTGCCTGAAAGCATCCTGCTGACCTGGTTCCTCCGGACAGATTTTCACTGAGATGGAGAAATGCTTCCTTTTGCTGCCATACCTTTGCTGGGAAGGTAATTAGGAGCTAGCTCATCAGAGCCAGAAAAAACGTTAGAGGGAGTGAACCAGCCACCCTTAGGAACCAAATAGATACCCCACCACTAGCACACCACCAGCACCACTAACAGCTTGTAGAAGACAGCAAAAAAATAAATAATTAAAGCTTACATAGTACATAGTACATACTACTGAGACAGAAACGGAGGCCACGGAGCACTCAGCCAGTACTCTTTTTTAAATTAAATTAAATTAAATTTTTTTATTGTCAAGGTGATGCACACAGAGGTTGCAGTTACATAACTAAGGTAATGAGTACATTTCTTCTCCAACCTGTTACCCCTCCCCTCATTTTTCTCCTACTTTCCCTCCCCAATCACCACCCCAGATCATTTCCAACATATTGTCTGTGAATATCATTGTTGCATTGGTTCCTCCCTCATCCTTTGTCTCATCATTCTATTGCTCCCCTTCCCTTCTCTAATTCAAATAAATATACATACAATACCAGGGCACCAAAATCAAATACAGTGACTTGAAAGCCTGCCTCACAAGTCCTGGCTTACGGGAGAGAGTGGCTCCACTCCCAACAGTACAGGGAAGGGTTAATAGCTGGGAAGACACTATTCACACCATTTGCAGAGTAAAAAAAAGAGTTTATCTTTCTGTTGTTCCTCTTCCCAGCTCCAACATGGCTTCTCAGTCCCTTAACCTCCCTAACCACCTTCCTAACCACCAATGGTCTTCTCCTCCAGTTAACCTCAGCTCCCAATAGGGTGACCTTACCTGAAACTACCTTATATGGAACACGCCTCTCACCATCCATTTCAAACACCATTCCATCTTCTGGCACATTCTCAGAGTATTCTTGATGGACAAAGTTCCACTTGCACCCATGCACTTCCTTTGTCTTCTTCAATATGTATCTTACTTAACAAGTAAGACTTACAACCTTAGTTAGCTCTCAATTCGGGCAAGCATAAGCCACTGAGTAAGCTCATACAAATACAACAGACTCTCTTCACACTTTGCCTTCGGACAAAATGCTCCTATTATTTTTATAACAACACACCAACACACATGTAGTGAGACTGAAGAGATCTGTTAGTATGTCTCACATTTGTCTGAGAGATCTACTAGCATGACTCCTTTCCATCCTGTATCTCATGTCTCATCTTAAACATAAGATATCCTCAATGAAGCCTGTTTCACCGTCTCCATTCCCATTGCTATGCCAAGCCATCTGGACTTCTATAAAATCCTAGGGTTTTTTTTTTTTCTTTTAAATTCTCTGTTCTACATAAAAACAAATTGTCCCATACGTAAAAGCAAGAGTAAATTGATTTATCTCTAGGGTTTGTTATTTGAAACATAGTCCAAGCTCCCTGAAAATAGGACAAAGGCCACTCTTTTACTCTTTAGCCAAGGGATCTTGAACATAGGTATTATTGAATAAATGAGTGAAAAGGCCCTATATATAATACAAATGACATATATATATATATATATATATATATATATATAACTTGTATTAGATAGATATAGTGAAATTGAAGAAATCTGTTAGCATTCCTCACCCATTTGAGAGGATGTTGATAGGCCTAAAGAGATCATTCTGAAAAGTCTGGGTGCTTATTTATTCAAATTTTAAAACATCTTTAGCTTTTAAAGCCTAGTATTGTGAGTGGGAGGTAAGCTTCAGTTTTAGGTTAAAGGAAAACTGCAATCACGGATTAAGTTGCAATCATTGGCATGTTGCTTATATGACCATTGACTTAGCAAAATACCCTAATTACCCTCACCAATGCAATTCAAGAGTCACAGTTAATCAACCAATAAGACCTCTGTGAAATAGAAGTCTGATGTAAACTGAAATTCTTCTGAGACCTGTTCCCCATTCATTGATCTGTTTGCTACTGGTTAAGTTAGGCATATTATCTGTTGTCTTTTTAATTATTAAGCAATTAATTCATGGGTTTTTGAAGATGAAATATGATGTAACTTCTAAAATATCTAAATATTTTTCAAATAAAGTGATAATTCTTTGTTTCTTTTCTATGATTTAATCCCATTTGGATCTGCTCAGAAAAATATTTATGTGTTGTCAAATTCCCAAAATCCAAATGCTGTGTAGAAGTTTAGAATTTCAAAACAAATATATCCATGTTTTACAAATATATACTTGAAGGTAATACTGTAACATTTAGCTGTAAAATTGAGGTAGTTATGAAAGACTAATAGTGTTTGTGTTTGGGGCTTTTGTGTAGATATCATTTGTTGGGAAACGAGATTAAGGAAGTTTTACATTAATACACCTTTTCTTTGAGGAAAATATTATTCCTGAGTTTATTTGTATTAAACTGACTTAGTAAAACTTGTTTCATGGTTTCTCTAGACACAGTTTATTTACCAAACAAACAAAAACCCCGTTCCCACCATTTTCTAAATGCATTAGTGAGTGCCTCATTAAAGAAAGCAAACAAACAAACCACAGGCAAAAGCACAAAAAGACCTTATGGTTTGTCCATCACACAGTATACTAAACTGCTTCAGATTTGGTGTGAGGGAGGAAATCTGTTGCACACAAACTCATTCTGATGATGGCATAGTTATTAGAAATCAAAGTATGATTTGCTTTTCTGTTACCATCAAGAGCTATTGACTTTTGAACCCCTGAACGCTCTCTTCTAGCTGCTCTCGAAATCTATTGAACAACTGAAGCAACCAGGCAGTCACCTTGAGGAGGCAGAGGAAGAGCTTCAGGTCGACCAGGCGATGCAGGAAGACAGAGCGCCCTCTAGTGACACCAGCACTAGGAGCGACAGCAGTACTTGTGTGGATGATACACTGGGACAAGTTGGGGCGGTGAAAGTCAAGGAGGAACCCGTGGACAGAGATGAAGATACTCAGATCCAGGAAATGGAATCTGGGGAGCAGGCTGCTTTTATGCAACAGGTAATAGGCAAAGATTTAGCTCCAGGATTTGTAATTAAAGTCATTATCTGAACATGAAATGAATTGCAGTTTTGGGTAAATGGTTATCATTTCCGATCGGGTTCTATCTCTGGATGATTTGATTTTAGTGTTTAAGGATTCTGACTAATACAGGTAAATGTCTACCTATCTATTTAGAGCTTTTCATCTCTAAATAGATATCAAGGTTCCATCAAAACACCACATGGTAAGAGAATACCTGTAACACTAAAATCATGCTACTTAATATCCAAGTACTTAGAAGGCTTTGAATTCATCCTAAAGCCTGCTATCCTGGTTTCTTCTAAGGAAAACGAACTCATTGTTATTTTTATTTTATGTGTTGAGATCAGTTACTGCTGGATATAGTCTCCAATCTGATCAATGAAGCATTCAGTTAGCTTTTGATTTCTTTGAACATGTAGAATTCAATTTACACATCACTGTACATAATGTATCATACGACAGTCTTGAACACTGTTAAAAAGTAGTCTGCCCTTTCTTCCTCTCTCTCTCTCTTTCTCTGTCTACTTTTTTTTGTTAAGCAAAAATGTTCTGGTTACTCTGCCAGTACTACCTAGTTTATTGTGTAGATTGTAACTGAAAATATTAGGAATACAGGTGTTTTTAAACAATGCAAATTGAAGTCATAATTTTAAGTACTACGTTATGTATCACATATCACTGGTAATTGCTTTTCTCTTTGTGCAATTTAATGGCATTGTCTATTGAAAGAGGTGAAATGAAGCTGGTGCAAATGTCAGTGAGCAGTCGTGTGCAGCCTTAGTGGTCCAGTCAGATATGCTATCTACAGTACAGAAAACCCAGTGACAGTGTGCTTATCACCTGATGGCAAGTTCAGATCAGTTTGACAAGCAGGTGTATCATGTTCTGTGATCATTTTCAGTAAGCCCTTTTAGATATAATTCTATGATAGATACCCTCTAATTCGGGCAAATGAAAAATTGTGAGAAGTTGGGTGTAACAAGCGTTGACTCCTCTATAATGCACCTTCAGAAGGACTATGTCCTTTGATGCAATAAAATACAAACAACTTTGAAGGCAACTGAAGACAATGTTTATTTAAGCCAGTTCTTTGTCAGGTTCCTGCTGTTCTCCTACAGAAAAGTGATTCTGTGAGGCTGAACAGGAAATGCCCCGTGGAAACAGGAAGTCCGAGTGATTCATGTACTGAGGAATGTAGAAAAAAAATCTGAGGATAGTGTTTTACTCTTTCTGTTTTTAAAGGGCACTCTATGAATTGATTTATTGACTAAGAAAATAACACCACAAGTAGGGAAATTGTTACGGAGGCTTTTCACTGGAACATTTCCTTCATTTTCCCCTTTTGATATGTTTACCTTGTTTTATAGGTTTACTTTTGTTAAGCTAGTTAAAGGTTCGCTGTATTAACATCCCTTTAATATGGATAATCCAAATTGACCTAGAATCTTTGTGAGCTTTTTTTTTCTATTAAAATATTTATATTTCTAAATCTGAGGTATTTTAAGGTGTAGTATCCTGTTTCAAAGAAGATATAACAGTTTTGCCAAATATAGACATTGTTCAAATGTATGTTATCGGCACATGATGTTTACATTTTGCTGTGACATTTAAAAATACTTCTTTAAAAATGTTACCGCTAAAGATACATTATCCTTTTTTAAAAAGTCTCCATTCAAATTAAATTAACATAATTAAAAGTTAGAATGAGTTTAAAACTTTTCCATATAATGAAAGGTCCTTCTGATAATTTGACAAATAGCTGGAATAGCTGTAATAGGCAACATTCCCTGTTTCCAACATATTTTGGTTAGTATATTCCTTCATATTAAAATGACTTTTGTCAGTTGTTTTGCATTAAAAATATGGCATGCCTAAGATAAAATTGTATATTTTTACCATCTCATAAATATTCATTTCCTTCAAAGTCTTTTTTCAAACTTATAAAAAAAAAAAAGGGATAGTGCATCTTTTAAAATACATTTTATTTGGGGAGGAACATGTGGCTGAGCAGACTTTTGTATAATATTACTTCAAAGATATGTAATCACAAACAAAAAAAAACATCCTATTTTTTATAATGTCATTTGAGAAAGCTTCAGAAGTACAGTTTGTGGACATTAAGTGTTTGAATTTGATAGTCTTTGAATTTAATCAAGAAACTACCTGGAACCAGTGGAAAGGGAAGCTGGACTTAAATAATCTTAGAATTAATTGATAAATGTTTCTTTTAAAATCTACTGTATTTATTATAATTTACACCCTTAGAGGTGATCTCTTGTTTTGTGTTGTAAATATATTGTTTGTATGTTTCCCTTCTTTTCTTCTGTTATGAGTCTCTTCCTTTCTCAAATAAAGTTTTTTTTAAAAGATCCCCTTTCATACATTTGGCTTTGTGTAAACTTGATATATTTAATTGAATTGGAAACTTGTACATTAGGGTCTCATATGCCAAAATATATTGCCATTCATTTTTGTTGAAACAAAGAAATAAAGACATTTTGAGCAGTTACTTCTAATACCATTAAAACTAATACATTCAACAAAAAATGACTTTAAACATTGCCATCAGCCTTTATCCAATAGTAAACAAATGTAAAATTTGTTGCCTTTTCCGTTTTTCCAGTGTGATCTTTTCATGCTATGCTAGCATCTTTGGTATTTAAATTTAAATGTCATATTCTAAATATAAAATTTTACCTAAATAGATGTCAGTTCCTAACTCTACTCCTCTTTAAAAATCATTTTAAAAAGCTTAACATGATCCCTTGAATATAACAAGTTATCAATAAATATTTAAATGAATTTCTCCCTAAGCATTATAATAATTATATCTGTTACAGTGAGCTCCTGAACTGCAAATATAAAGTAAAAGTGAGCAAGGTTAAAGGAAAGTAGTAATTAAATGATCTTCCCTTCTATGCTGACAGTGATTATAACACTATTGTGAAGAAAAATGAGCCAACTCAGAGCAATGATAATTTTCTACACACACCACACAGGCCGTGAGGTACCTACCATGTTCCTCATTGTTGCCAGCAAGACTTACCCAATGGTGTTCACAGAGTATTACTGTGTATTTGGTTCAGTAGTTCAACAGTTATTTTTCATGTTCTTTGTTTCATTTAATCTAGTAGTTAATAGTGTCCTGTAAGGCAATGATACCTTACGTCACCACAGAGTCACATACAACTGAAGGATTCTAATTGTTCTGTGTTAAACAATGGGTTATCCTCCATGCTACTATCCATTTGATATTTTGGTTGGAATTTTGGAAATGACATTGAATCTGTGCATGATATCCTGAAAATGGATTTTGGACTGTCAAACTACAAGATTAATTCAATACTTGAGATCCTGAAAACAAAGGATTAGAAGAACTGATGATAATTTGATAATCGATATCTGCTTTCTGAAGCATTAGAGGAAGTGACTTTCTTCCGAAAAATAGTTTACCAAGGCTTGGTGGTGTAAATAATAGCTTTTCTTTTCCTCTTTTAGCAATACAACCATCTGCTCATCAGTGAAAGTGATTGCTGAAGTTTAGACTTTCTGGTCATAGAACTGAGAAAGGGAGTCTTTAAGAATTTTTATATTGTTTCATACTCAGTTTTGTTCAAAGGATGTTAAAAAGGAATTTGGACAACTCATTTTTAAAATCTAATACTTAATAGATGTACTGTTGGGCAATATAGCAATTTTTTTTAAGTTTGGCATTTCTTTGTTACTTTTCTCCGTAATTAGATCACACAGTTGTAGATGATCATAGTAGGGATTAATGGTGGGTGTGTAGTTGAGGGTTTCCTGTGCTATGTGATTGAGGTCTATAATTGCAACCCATGATAGTCAAGAACTTGGAGGTGCAAAAGAAGGAATTGGAGGCTATCATTTCCTTTACTATTCATATTTCTCTCTTAAGGGGGAAAGTATAGGAAGTCAATCAGAGAACACGAGCAAATAAAGGGATACAAGGACTGGAACTTTTCAATTAAGCTAAGACTCTACTGTGTTTAGAATGCATAACTTTTGGATCATCTTGATTTACACAAATGCTTTTGCTCTCAGCTATTGCATGCCTCGGTGTTCCAATTATGATTACCAGTTCTTTGTTTCTATTAATTTATTCAGGTCACAAAATCAACTACTAATTGTTTAGTTCTGAAAGCATTGGGGCCTTATGGAATACAATCAAGTCACCAGTTCACAGCAGTCTAGTTTTAATTTGAACCCAGACACATATTCTCGACCATGACCACTATGCTGTGTTTATGCAACAATTCCTTTTATAAATCCAATATGCTTGCTTCTTTCCACTTTATAAAAGCATGGTTATTTCTCATTCCTCTCTTCCATACTATCCCGTTGCTTATCATTAGCTCTTAACAAAATCTTTTGAGTCAATTATCCCTTATTCACCGTTCTAAAGTATGAGATTTGGGTTCTTATTCTAATTCACAAGCAGTGGTTCTAATTCTTATGCACAATATGTTCAGCCACTTGTAGATATAAAAATATGCTTTGTGCAGGTGGCTCATGTCTATAATCCTACCTACTCAAGAAACTAGGATCTGAGAATCCCAGTTCCCAGCCAGTCCAAGAAAGAAAGTCAGTGAGACTCTTATCTCCAATTACCCACAAAAAGCTGGAAGTGGAGCTTTGCCTCAAGTGGTAGAGCACTCGTCTTGAGTACATGACGCTCAAAGACAGGGCCCAGAGTTCAAATGCCAGGACCCAAAAAGCATGGGATTATTTTTCTGACCAGATCCAGTGCTAGGATGGAGTAAAACAGATTACACTTCAGGTTAATTTTGGGGGGATTGGGAAGAAAAAGGACGTCAGCCAGCCTGGGTCTTCTTTGCTGCTTTTTTCTTTCTTTTTCTTTCTTTCTTTCTTTTTTTTTATTGTGAAAATACTCTACAGAGGGGTTACAATTACATGGGCAAGATAATGAGTACCTTTCTTGTCAAGCATTGCAGCCT